GCGAACTTCAGAAACCAAGCAGCATCATACACATGAGACCAGATAGTCGTGACCTCGAACCAAAAGCAGAATTGCATCACGAGTCCCACCAAATAATAGCACAGCAAAAGCTCATAAGTGACAATGTTCGAGTAGTCTCATCATCATCAACAAATAACCAATGTCGACATCCTATCTGGCGCTCGGCGCCCAGACTACAAATTGCAGATCCTATCTAGCCTATCTACAATGCCACTGGTGATGTCAACAGCTCCCCGAAGTACGAGCAGATCTCGGCCAATGCTGTACGCTTCAAGCACCAGGTATGTCTCTCGTATCACTCACAACCTCGTTCCTCAACTCACAGATGCCACATGCAGCCAAGAACCACCATGCGCCCCATCCAGCTTACAGCAGCGCAGCTCGGCTATGGCTGCCTGCTCCTTCCAGCTCGCCCTTGAGCGCGTGAGCGCTGGCCAGCGTTAGCGCAGCAGCGCTTGCGCAACATGCAGCCAGTGCCCGAATGCTGAATGCGTGGGCAGGCCCTTTCCTAAATGGAAGTGGCCTGCCTGCTTGCGTGCAGCCTGGCTGTGCTGGGCCCCTGCCCAGAAGCTTCCAGTAGGCCCAAAGAGGCTGAGCCCCAGTCCAAACAAAACAGGCCCTGGGCCTGTGGTGGTTGCCCATGTCCAACTGCCTGCGGCCTGTGTTCGGTCCATGTAGCAAATCTGGCCCAGGGCCTACCTCAGTTACATTCGTAGGAGGCAGCCTGGGCCTGGGCGCTCTCAACCAACTGGCGCTGCTTCCCAGTTGCGTGGTGACCCCAAAATGGCCTGTAGGCCTCGGCCGAGCCTGCCTTCACTTAGGGTGGCCGACTGTGTTGAAAATAAGGCCCTGTAGGGCATATCGAGGCCTTGTGCCTCGCATTCCCTCCTCCATACTTTGCTAGTCCTCTCAGAAGTTCATTCAATCTGGCGCTTTCCTTTCTGCAGTAACTTCTCGTAGTGGGCGACCACTTGTGGGGCGGTCTGCATCAGTTCCTCCCGGGTAAACCATCTATCCTCCTTGGGATCAGTGTGATGTCTGAACCGAACACGATACTGCAGCTTCGGTTTCGGAGGACGTCCCCTGCCTGTAGGTCTTGGAACTGGCATTTCTCTGTGATCCACGATGTCATCGATGTCGACCTCTCCATCCATGGTTGGGGGCAGCATTGAGCAATGAGAAGGAAACTGGTCAGTTTCCCTGAAAGGTGCGAGCTTGGAGGCGTGGAAGACTGGGTAAGTGCGAAGGTGACCAGGGATCCGAACTACATATGTGGCATACTGCGCAGCCACACAGGCCTGCAGGGCCTGTCCCGCAGTCTCAGCCTAAAAGCCTAGTAACAAGGGCTTACAGGCCCCGTGTCGTTTCAGCCTGAAAGACTGAAAAACGAGGGCCTGCAGGCCCTATGTCGTTTCAGCCTAAAACAGGGCCTTTCAGGCCCTGAGTCTTTTCAGCCTGAAACGGAGGGCCACTTTCGGGCCCTCATAAGATCGACCTGCCCTAACACTCAGGCACCAAACCAGGGTTCCGGAACAGGCTATTTTTGGCCTGTTCCCCAATGGGGCGTTGTTCGACGAGAGGTAAGTCGGGGAATGACCTACGTAGACGACCTGATGATAAAAGAGACAAGAAAAGAGAAGGGGACAAAGAGGGGAAGGATATCGAGTTAGGGACCAGGAAGTTGCCCAGGAAAGGACCAAAGAATGGATGAAATAAGTAAGCTCGCTTGCTGTTTAAACTGTGCAGGGGACCGCTAATCAACAAATGGCAATGAGACGCGCACGGATGTCGCGACGGCCCACGCACCCTCGACCACCCACGGAAAGTGGAAGCGGATGGGAGGTATCGCTCCCGGCAAGCTACACGGTCCGAGGAATTGACACCGAATGGAGAGCCGTGACTTGGGGAAGGGACCAGGCATTCATGATGGTAGAGTGCTTGTGGAGTGGGATGAGGTTCGATAGGGGACCAGGGGACGACCTGTATACCGACCTGAAGGTAACAGGAACCGTATACCTGCCGGAGGACGGATGGCACATGCTAGGAACGGAGTTGGCACTAGGGCATGGATAGTGGACCGGATAGGCCAGGAGGTGCGAGGAAGAAGGAACATGGGACTGAGAACCCGGGTGGAGGTAGGAGCATGGCGAGAGTTTAACGGGACTGCGGTGCCGAGTGCCTCGCTTCATGGTGGACTTGGTATTTGGCAGCCTCTCAAGGGCAAGAAGCCTGGTGGAGTCGACTTTAGTCTAGAGCTACTACTTTCGTCCTCAGACGACGGGAATGTTTTACGATGTGTCAGTTAGGCACGGACCGTTTTGGGGAAACCAGACCCGTGAACTACTCGAACTCATCGAAATCCTGATATTCGGGTTACCACGCATGGCGTTTGAGGAATATGAACCAATAATTATCAGGGAAATAGAAATGGGGGAAAACTATCTTGCAGGGGTGACCGATCTGTTTGAAGAACCGGACGAGCGAGACAGACCTCAGGAACCGGCGTGAGGAAAAAAACACTAGGTAAAGGTGAAAGGCGGAAAACCGGAATGAGAAGCTAGCAGTCAGCAAGGGAGTAGTGGTCGCAGTTCCGCCCTACCTAAGGTCGTGGCAGGAGGGAACTGGGAAGACCACCCGCGCTGAAGGACGTTGGGACATCCGGGTGTCAGGAAGTCAAAAGGGCTACCTTCGAGGGGAGAGCCACTAGCCTCAGACACCGCCCTAAGAAACCGGGGCACGGCGGTAACGAAACGCCAAACCTCGGCAGCGAGCCTTCCGACAGAAAAACGACAGAAAGGCGCCCTGTAGGAAATTGTCAGGTAAGTCGTCCTAACAAAAATAAGGCGCAAAACATGGAAATAAGTAAGAATAAGGGGACCTTAGGGCCCGAAAACTAGGGAAGCCATGAACAACCGGCCGTTTCGCAAATTTTTTTTCCCATGTGCAGGGTAGGTAAGGGGATGGCGTCAGAAGAGGAGGCCGAAGGGTTGCGGAACAAGGGGAGTCAGGGCACGGAAAGAAGCGGAGAACGAAACGAAGGGTCGGTAAGGGATCGATAGTCGGCAAAACCAAAGGGGGCCAGGGAAGACGGAAAGGACCTTTCGACAGGGGAAAGTTCCGAGAAAGCCGAGGGAAGCAAAAGAGGACCCCAGCAAAGCAGGGAGAAAGGGGACAACGGAAGGGCGAGTTCTCGAAATTCTGACGGAACCACACCCAAGAAAACGAAAGTCTCGGACGCACATCGTAAGCTGGCAGAAATAGAAAAACGGACCGCAAAATATAAGGCAAGGCTTATCGAGGAGATGATGGCGGGGAACGAAAGGGACCTTTTGGGAGAAGGGTCACGAGAAGACCGCAGGGTCAGTCGGGGCAAAGTCAGGCTCGGAGGGAAAGTCAATAGTCATAGGGGCACGACCAGTAAGAAGGATAAGGAAAAGGGGGACTCCCCGATCATAGAAGTCGAAAAAGCTACAACCCCACCTGCTATGGATAGTGGTGCTAACCGTTCGCCCACCACGCCGAAAGTAACTAAGGGGTGCGACGGACTTTGGAGTCTTAGAGAAAGGGTGTTAGGATGGTTTGATCCAGAGGGTACGCCAAAGGCCGGGGAAAAGCAGAGGGATAGCAAGGAAGGAGAAGGGACCAATGCGGCCGGTGAAGCGGGGAGCTCTGAAGGGGGTCTCAAGAGGATAGTAGCCACCCTCACCCGGGCTCTGAATAAGAATCAGGGGTATCTTGCGGATGGTAAGAAGAAACTTAACTTCTACGGGGCAAACATTACGGAATTCCTGATAGACTACGAGAACCTGGCAGCCTTGCTGAAATGGACTGAGGAAGAAAAGATTGATCACTTAGGGCAGCACGTGTCGTTGAGCTTAGGAAGGGACATTATGACTATTGTCGCCTCTAGTGGATCCTCGAAAGAGACCCGGAACGAGATGATGAGGAAGTATCTGAAGGCAGAGAAAATGGCAACGGAAGCCGAATTGGCAACAGTCCAAAGGAAGAACTATGCGACTTACATAAGGGCATTTACTCTACCGGCAGACTAGTAAGTTCGAGTACACAAGGGATGTGGATTTCAGCACGGTAACAGACCTCGCACAAAAGACGGTGGTGACTGAGACACTAGCCCTGCTTAATGAAGGAGAGGTTATAAATCTGACCGGGAAAACGGGGGATAAGGTGAAGAAGGGGATAGAAAGCCTGCATGAACGAGTGCACGGGGTTGATAGCAAGATAGAAAGAGTGGAAAATGCGCTATTAGTAATGCAGGTGCAGGTGGCCCGACCCGCCTTCCCGCCCCGAGAGGCTGTAGTTCCGGCAGCAGTAGCAAATCAGGGGTATGGCAGGAGGGATCCGGCCAACGAGTAGTGCTGGTATTGCACAATGGTCGGACATTTCGTGCGCACCTGCCCGAAACTCAATCATGATATCATAAGGCAGAGATGCAGCAGGTCCCTCGAAGGTGAAATTTTCGGGCCTCAGGGAGAACGCATAAACTGGAATTCGCCAGGAGGGATGCAGCGTGTCGTCATCCTCCTGAATAATCTGGACATAGCTGCCGTAGAAGCGGAGCCGGTAGCTGACATTGTCTGGGACCAACCGAGGGGACACGGACCACAAGCCAATTTCATCCTAGAAGGCAATGGGCAGGATAGGGTGAATATCACCACCCGACGGGCAGGCGTGGAGAAGAAGCTTATTCAAGATACAGTAATGGAAGAGGTCGCGACGACCAGCACAGATCAAGGCGAAACTGAGACCAAGGAACAGGAGAAGGTTTATGGAAAGACAAGGGAAGAGGAGTCGGCAGACAAGGTTACGGCGGCAAAAAATAAATTCAGGTATCAGATCCCGATTCTAACCCTGCCAGAAATAGATGACACCGTAAGTAAACTCCTGGGCACCATGGTATCCGTATCATTTCAAACCATGTTGCAAGCAAGCCCGACACTGCTTAAGGGTCTCAGGCAACTGCTGACGCGCAGGCGCGTAGAAATAGAGGAGGCCCCGGAATCACAGGAGCAGGAAACGGAAGAGGCTGAGGCACCGCAAGGGGTCTCCAACCTCCATAGGGATCCAGGGGATCTAGAGGACCTGGAAAAAGCCTTTGTAGATATCCGTCTAAGCCTACCGGACCGAGAGGGTGGTGAAGTCATAAGGGCGCCGCCCGGGACGAAGCTTAGCTTCCATGCGTTGCCCGTAGGAAAGCTGAAAGTGCAGATCGGGACTCACCACACAGATGCATTAGTGGACGGTGGTGCGGAAATCACCCTCATACGAAGGGATTTCGCAACCATTACGGGCTGCATTGTAAACAAGGAAGTCACGGGGAGTATCCGGGGAGCCGGCGGGGAAATTCCCTTTGCAGTATACGTCACGAAATGCGCAGTCAAGGCGGGGATCAGGGAATCGATATGGTCCTTCACCGTGATGGAAGAAATGGACCATGACATAATTCTCAGGAGACCATGGTGCGCCAACGTAGAGATGATAGGTATGCTTCTGCATGATGGCACGTACATGGTGGATATAGAGGACCTCGTGACCGGCCACGGAGAGCTCCTCCGACTCCTTGGGACCGGAGGGGATCCCCCCAAGGGCAAATTGGCAACCTGGTCGCCAACGTTCGAGGATAGTGCGCGAAAAGGGACATTCGCACGGATGGAAGGTATGAGGGAAAGAGTAGAGACCAAGATTGAGGAGGCTTTTAGTAAGAAGGAGTGGATCAAGATGGGTCTGCCTCTGAAGAAAAGAAGGCAAGAGGATGAGGTGCTAGGGGTTATGGCGGCAGAGAAGGAGGCGGAAGTCGAGCTTGGGGCCAGCCTGCCCAAATCAAAGGAAGACCGGAAGGAAATGTCGGAGGTAATACTTGAAATTCCAGACTTGTTACAACTCGTTAAGGCTATCAAGTACCACAAAGTAGGAGTGGACCCGGCAGCGCTTGCCAAATTCGAAGAGGAGGTCCAAAAGGGCTTACTGTCTGAATGGCAAGTTAGTCAGTATCCAGCCCCGTATCATGGAGGTAGCAAGGTCAATCTCGACCGTTCATTTTTTAGGAGAACGATCCCAGAAGGGAGTGTGCGAAAGTACAAACCCGTAGGGAAGAAAGCCAAGCCGGTCTCAATCCTAGTAGAAACATCAAGGGAAGAGGTCATGGAAAAGGAGGAAGAAATCCTGCGGATAATAAGGGAGAGGCGAGCAGCGGAAGGGCACCGGATACTTGATGAGATAGCGGATACCATGAAGATAGGGGTAGAAGGGTTCCTAACGGCGGAAGAGGCTCAGTTGATAAGGAGGGCGTGCCAAGAATTTCACCTAGCCTTCGCATTCAATGACCACCAGAAAGGTCGATTGGATGCGAAGCTAATTTCCCCCGTTAGGATTCACACGGTGGAACACGAATGCTGGAAKGACAAGGGGCCCRCCTACGAGTTCGGAATARCTGCGGAAGTCACTRAATTGCTCAGAGYCAAGATAGATTYGTYCGTGGCCRAACCCACCGCATCCCCCTACGCGAACAAGTGGTTCGTTTTTCGRAAGCCCAACAAATCGCTCAGATGGATCCAGGACTTGCAGAAGCTGAATGCGGTTACGATCCGGGATGCGGGATCACTTCCGYAGGYYGACCTACTGGCAGAATCTCACGCCGGACGAAGCATTTACTCCCTGATAGATCTATATTCAGGATATGACCAACTACCGCTCGACGCGAGGGATAGACCGTACACCGCCATGCACACCCSTGTAGGTCAGYTGCAAATGCAAGTGACWSCWATGGGCTTCACAAATGYTGTGGCGGAGGCACAGAGGAGGATGCTTGCGGTYGCAGGGGACATGTTCCCRRAAAAATGYGAGCCCTACATRGACSATAATCCCTTAAAAGGCGYGCARAACAAGGATKAGACAGAGGTCCAGCCGGGCATACGAAAATTCGTTTGGGATCACCTACAGGATATCAAGGACCTACTTCAGCGGTTCCTCGTATATAATATTACCGCAAGCAGACCTAAAAGCATACTGGCGGTCCCAGAAGTGACCATACTGGGGTTTCGCTGTRGGGCCTAYGGMAGGAAACCYGACCCGGCAAAAACRGATAAGATCTCTCARTGGCCAACACCRCTGCGCACCACGACGGAAGTACGAGCCTTCCTAGGGGTGGTTGGATTCTGGATAATTTTTATCAAAGCCTTTGCCAAGATAGTTGAACCTATCCTCGCAATGATTAGGGAAGGAGGGACCATGGAGTGGACTGAGGATAGGGAGGCGGCAGTCCAGACCCTCAAAGACATCTTGTCTTCCGACCAAGTCACCCTGGTAGCGCCCTGCTTCACTGATGAAGTAGGACGACCCTTTATCTTGGAAACAAACGGAGGACCTTTGGCAGTAGGTGGAGTCCTGATACAGAGGAGCGAGGAAGGTAAGGAGAGGCCTAACAGATTTGAGAGCAGGACCCTGAATTCGGCAGAGCGGCGGTACTCACAATTCAAGAAAGAGGTCTTAGCCATTCTACATTGCCTTAAGACTTTTCAGGCATACCTGTTCGGGAGACGGTTTATCCTGAGAATCGATCCGACTAATGTCGTCGGGGCATTAAAGAACTACAAGCCTATAGACCCGACCGTTGGGAGATGGATAGCCTTCATATGGCAATTCGACTACAAGGTCGAGCGAATTGCGGGGCTCCGAAATAGGGCAGACGGGCTAAGTCGAGTTTGTATTACGCCGGAGGGAGTGAAGGATGTGGAACCGATCGACGCCTTCCTAGAATATGAAGGGGGGACCCTGGTCGTGGATAACGAGATGGCAGGCACCGCTCCTACAATGGACCAACTGCTAATTCAGACCCTAAAAAAGGGCGCGCCCGCCATAGTTGCGAAACTCAGGGAAGGACCAGTCATCACGTTTAGACGCAAGGATGAGAAGGATTCGTGGGGAACAACGATGGGGCCAAAGGAAGAGCTGATGGCAATGGTCGTTGAACGGGGTCGGGATGCTGTGATGAATCTAGTAGAAACTTTGACGCGAAGAGAGCGGCAGTATCTAGTGAATAAGGCTCAGGAGGAGCAAGACACCGATCAGAAGGGACGAGAATTCTTCCTTATACAGATGTATGATGGCATCTTTAGAGAAGTCGGTCTGCTGCTTATAGGAAACAAGCAGCCTATGGAAGTCAGCCTCAAGGCAAGGGAGGAAGCCGAGAAGTATGTTTTGAGGAACGGTCACCTGTTCAAGAAAGAAGAAGTTATGATGCCTAGGCATGTCGTGTGCGGGAGGTCCAGGAGTTGGACATAATTCAGGCAATGCATGATGGACTAGCCGGAGGGCACCGGTCATCCAAAGGGACTCTTGCAAAAATCGCGCCACTTTACTTCTCGCCAGGTATGGCAGGTATGGTGGCTACGTACTGTCAAACGTGTCTGATATGCCAAGAAAGGAGCTCGGCGCGCGTCTTCGAGCCCCTTAGACCTACCCGGGTACTAAGGTCGGGGCACCTGGTCCATCTCGACCTGGGGGTCATGCCTGTATCGATGGATGGATACAGGTACATCTTGGATGCAAGAGATAACCTCAGCGGCTACGTAGAGGCGGTAGCTCTTAAGAGAAAGACGGGAAAGGGAGTGGCCGATTGGATAGAAGACTTCTACCTTAGGCACCCCTTTGTGCGCCGGTTCATAGCGGACAATGGGACGGAGTTCGTCAACCAGGAGGTGTTGGGCAGGCTTAAGGCGTTGAGCGTACCTATCAAGATCATCGAACCATATCACTCTGAGGCTAATGCACCAGTAGAAAGGGGACACCGCACCTTGAAAAACACAATCGCTAAGTTGGCGGCCGATGACCTGGGGAACTGGCCTCGGTACCTTAAGCAGGCGGTCTTCTCAGAGAACATGACGCCGAAAAGGACGACGGGATGCATTCCGACAGAACTCTGGTATGGGAGGGAGATTGATTTCCCAGTGGAAGCCCTACTTCCTACCTGGAACAGGCTAGATGACGATCCGACATGTCTACGGAGGAACAAATTGCCGCACATTGCCAACAGGTCGTTAGAAATAAGGAAGCCTTGGAGGAGGTGATTAAACGTGTAATGGATAGTCGAATGAGGGACAAAGCAAGGTGGGACCAGGTAAAAAACATCCGGAAGGAGCCACTCCAGGTGGGAAAGAAGGTACTAGTTAGGAACTCGGCTCTTGAAAGCACGTGGTCTGGACAACTGGGAAGAAGGTTCAAAGTTCCCTACAAGATTGCTAAGAAGGTGGGATTGAACACGTTTGAACTTGAGGATCTCGATGGTACTGGGATAAGAGGGTCATTTCCGGGGCAGAGGCTGGTCAGGTTTTTTAGCAGAGATCCGGTGGAGCAATGGTTACAGGAGGCTCAGGATAAGGAAACAAGGGAATTGACAACTTGAAAGGCAGGCAGCTGGCCATAAGGTCTGTACCGCCGCCCTGTGGAAGTGATCATGATTGCAGGGAATTGTTCATTTTGTGTCTTCCTTCCCTTGGGGCATGAGGTGACTGCTTGGGCCGAATATGAATGGGGTTGGGAGCCTGGGACAATGTACCATAGTTTTTGTGGGGCAATTATGGGGACTGTTTACATGGGGAGCTTATGTGATCGGGACAATGTACCAAAGTTTGGAAAGGAGATAATGGGACTACCAATCATATGGGGCAAGCAAGGGTTCTGGGCAAGCGTGTAAAACTCGCAAATGGGAGTGGAAGGGAGTGTGTGCGTATGAGGGGGTGCCGTGACTGTTGTGTGTGAACAGGACCAGGGAAAAGGAAAACAGCAAGAAAAAATAAAGATGGAGTTTGGGAACGAGAATCACAACAACGCCATCAACAGGCCTACAGGGGAACAACCAACTAGACAGGCCGGAGAGTCGAGCTCCAGGAAAAGGAAGTTGTATGTGGGATTTGACCACAATTTGGTTGTGAACAAAGGGGGAAGAAAGCAAGGGACCAGGGGACCGTCGCGCCTGAGAGAGGGGGAACCAATAGTTCTCCCATCTGATAGTGACACTAGTAGTGAGGAGGAGGGGAGCCTAGGGAGGCAGAGAATGGAAGAGGAAGAACCCAAAGAGGTTTATAGACCTCAGCAGTGAGGAAAAAGAGGACGAAGTCACGACGCCCACGAGAGAAGTAAGGGGAAGGGATGGGGACCCAGGCGAGGAGAAGGACAAGTGGATAAGAGAATTTGGGCCGTCTTTCAGTGACTGGTTCGATCAATGGGTCAGTATCATGAGGTATGAATGGGCAATGAAAGGGAAGGAGAAACTAAGCAGAGGAGAGGACATAGCGCCAACAAAGCAGAGGAGAGGACATAGCGCCAACAACATTTTTCACAGAAGAGGAGCTCCTACAGATGCAAAGGACAAAGAGAAAGATGCAGCAGGAGATCGACAATCGTGCAAGGGAGGCTCGACACAGGGCAACTGGGCAATAAAGGGGTAGTAGACATAACAGGGAATAGTTGGAAAATGGGCAGGACTGGAACCTGGGCAGGCATAACTGCCACTTTGAATCTTGCATTTGAACTTTCTGAGAATGGACTACAATGGGACAACTTTCTGTTTAGAATGACCAAAGACTAGGTAACTAGTGCTACTTTCCATAAGTAGTTGCTTTTTCAGAAGGACATGTGGGTCGATGAGCTTGGGACTAGGACTATGAAGCACTGAGTTTGAAAGTGAAGGGAAGAAAGGGGAGGGCCTAGATGAGACAAGTCTGTAATGTTGCTTTCGCATTCAAATTTGTCTTTTCTTTTTTAGAAAACCGCGACGGAACTGCTCTTTGAACTGGGAAAATCAAACAGGGACTAGGTAGCCAGCGCTACTTTGCATATAACTACTTTCTCCTTTGAAAATGCGGGGATCTTGGATGCTGAGACAGGAACTGGGAATGGTTGACTCTGTTGTGGGAGAGGGCAAGGTCGTGTGAATTGTTGAGATTGAAGAAAGCCGATGGCAAAGAGTTTCCTTTTGGGAATCGTGTACCCATGGTTGAATGAGTCATGGTATGAGTCCCTGTGAGAGGTTAGGGGACTTATGGGTAAACAGGCACGACGAACCCTCTTCCCTAGGAGCCTAATCCAATGTATCCTAGATAAGCCTAGAAGGGCAACAAGCATGAGAGGGCAGGGAAAGGAAATGTTGATTGAGCAAACATACTCCGGTAATGGTTGAACGGCCGGGCGGGCTAGTGCTGCTTGGGGTTGCGAGCCTCGACTTGAGCACTAGACGCTAAGTCGGGTGTATGTATGGACTTGAGAATGATGATGGATATGAGACAAAAGGCAAAGCATGCGTAAAAACCCAAAATGAGATGGCCACCTTCTAACCTCCGAGACATAGATAGGATCCGTGTTCTCGAGGCCCACCCCCTCGGGCGCTAACATTGGAAATGGATAAGGATGGCCCTAACCAGGCTGTCCGAGTGGAAATGGATAAGGATGGCCCTGACCAGGCTGTCCGATGGAAATGGATAAGGATTGCCCTAACCAGGCTTTCCGATTGACATGGATAAGAATGGCCCTAACCAGGCTGTTCGACTTGGAATTGGAAAGAACGACCCTAACCGGGTTGTTCGGAATGACCCCTGACAAGGGTCATTCTTTGGAATTCGCACTGGGGTTCCCTTGCATGACTGCTTGCGATGGATGATATTGAGAAGAGCTGAACCCTGGAAAAAATATTGGACTCAGCTTTGGAAAAGATATTGGACTGAGTCTTGGAAAAGATATTGGACTGAGCCTTGGAAAAGATATTGGACTTAGCCTTGGAAAAAATATTGGATTGAGCCTTGGTATTAGATTGAGCCTTGGTATTGGATGGAGCTTTGCTATTGAATTAAGCCTTGGAATTGGATTGAGCTTTGGAATGGGCTTGAGCATTGGACTTGGATTGAACAGTGGAATTGGAATGAGCACTGGGAATTGCATTGCACAAACAGGGGACCCTAGGCAACTTGAAATGGACTTGGAAATAACATTGAAATGGATTTCTCTTTTCTTCTGGTCCTTGGCCTCAGTAAGAGGGGGATAGTGGTGCTCGCACCGCGACCCCAAGACCTCTATCCCTTAAAGGGAAAAGTCTCAGCGCGACCTATTCCTCTTACAAGGGGATGAGGGTTAAAGGACTAAGGCACCTACCGCTTGGATCAGTGCGGGACGTCCGGAACTGACCCCGACAATGAGCTCTAGTCGGGGAGTTCAAATTGCGTCTCATGTTGAGAGCCTCAACGTCAAAGGGTGAGAGAACCAAATGGGCGAGAGAGTCATTCTTATTCTAGTCTATTTTGCTACTCTCCAACCACACGCCATACCATAGAGGGGTGGCATGGCCGTTTGGGTCGGGCCTCGGCTGCCCGCACTAAGTTGGGCGACACTGTCCAAGGGAAGGGGCCGGGCGAAGATACCGGGTGGAGTCCGTTACCACCACGAGGCATTGACACTGCCTCGCCGAAACATTACAACCGTTTCGGGACTAAATGCGAGGTCTTCATAATTGCACTCGCGGACTAATAGAGAGCCCCAACTCTCTTCAAAGGAAGAGGCCGGATCCAGAAAATTACCACTCGGGAGGAACGATTCGCGAGGAACGCTTTTACGACTAGACGAGGGCCTGGAAGGCTTGGATTGGACCTGCCTGACAGACGTGAGGAGGAACCTCAGTACTGGCGCTCGCCGTGTAAGAGGAAAAAGGTCGGACCGAGTAGGAGGATGAGGCGTCACCCGCTGGGGAGGAACTGATCACTCTTCCTTTTGTGAAGCGGATAGGCTTGTGTCCTTGACTGCGGTTGGTGGGCCAAAGGTCTGCGTACCTTCGAGTGAGAACCAGTCGCGCGATGGGGACATCGCGTTTTGAGTGGGGGGAAGGTGTGCCATCTACCAACGCATGCAAAAGATTTGTGTAAATTGGCTTTGCATGGGCCTGAGAAAAGGGGCCTGGCAAGATGCGCAGAACAAAAAACGATTTGTGTAAATTAGCTTTGCGTGAGCCTGAGAAAAGGGGTCTGGCAAGATGCCCAGAACAGAAAAAATTTGTGTAAATTAGCTTTGCGTGGGCCTGCGAAAAGGGGCCTGGCAAGATGCCCAGAGCAGAAAAAGATTTGTGTAATCGGCTTTGCGTGGGCCTGAGAAAAGGGGTCTGGCAAGATGCCCAGAACATAAAAGATTTGTGTAATCGGCTTTGCGTGGGCCTGAGAAAAGGGGTCTGGCAAGATGCCCAGAACATAAAAGATTTGTGTAACTGGCTTTGCGCGGGCCTGAGAAAATGGGCCTGGCAAGATGCCCAGAACAGAAAAGATTTGTGTAATTGGCTTCGTGTGGGCCTGAGAGAAGGGGCTTGGCAAGATGCCTAGAACAGAAAAGACTTGTGTGAGCAACTCGACATAAGTGTGAAAAAGGAGTCTGGCAAGACTTGTATGATTGACTTTGCATGAACCCGAGAAAAAGACTGGCAGGCTGGGAAACGGATGAGTAATTGGCTTGCATGGGGCTGAAAAGAAGGTCTGACAAGGTGTCTAGAAAAGAAATGTGCGAGGGATGAACAAAGCATTGCACGTGGAAAGTTAATTAAGTAAAGGGCAAGAAAGGACAAAGGGTGATATGCATGCAAAATTGGCAGGACCTGAGAACGGCCGGGTAAAATGACCTGGGAGAAATATATGTGGATTTGGCCAAGCCTGGGCTTCAGGGAAGGGGTGACAGGAAAGCATGGACTGCACGGGCCGAAAAGTAGATCATTTTTTGATGAATGAGACGAAACCAAAATGGGTTCTGCTCGAGAATGTTTTCTCAATGAAATGGGAAGATAGATTTGGGATTACAAAGCACCGAGGGGGAGTTGTGTCTGTGTTCATCGATTCAAAGTGGGTATCACCACAGCGAAGGCGACAGTCGCACTGGACGAACATCCCCCTTCCAGGGCAAGTGCCTGACATTGAGTCACATCCGAAAACTTGCCTACAATTTGTTATCAACAATGCCAAGGCATATAATGAGAAAACCAATTATGTTATCACGACAAATTGCCACCCTGGGAATAAAAGTCAGCATGCCAGTAGTTAAGTGCATGAAGCGAGGAGAGCCTCGTCAGCTTCATGCTACTGAAGTCGAAAGAATTATGGGTTGCCCTGCTGGGTATACAGAGTTGACTGAAGAGGAAGTTCGCGTTTCGATTGAGGGAAAGATAAAGAGGCAGAGCTATGATGGAAATGAGCAACCTGGTCCAAGTTGTAAGGGGAAAAGAGAAGCCCGAAGAAGAACCTTTGATTCCCCCATACCCTCCTCCACCCCAAGGGGCGGAAACTAAAAGAACGCCCTGAGGAAGGAACGGGAAAAAAACAAAACGAACCCTGGCAAGCTA